CGGCACTTATGGAACCGACTTTTGAGTAGTTACGACCTCAGCCACCAGAGGTCGCGACTGGCGATGCTCTACGTCTAACAGCATATGGTCGTATGATATGAAGGACCACACGATAATCTGCATTCACACATTGATGACAGCGATCACCGGATACACTGCGAGCAGCCGCTGCAATGTTGATGAAGGTCTCAACACCAGTCACTGGAACCCCGATGTCCGTCTGAGCGGATCCTCGAATGGTGTGAACATCAGTCTCCTCGCCGGAGCTGCTGTCCCCATATTCCGCCCCAGGAGAAGCCCAGGTTTCTAGATTTCCGATCGCTCCACGGAATCGATCCCTGAAGATCTGGGACCTCAATAACGCGGATCACGGGAAGATAATTCTTCCAAAATCGAAAAGCATTCGCAGATTCTGCATAAATTCTTCTCAATTTTCGAATCTTGATGTCGTTCTTCAATGCGCGTGTGCCACCGAGATACGCAGTGGTGATGGGGTTTCGGAAATCGGCATTGGGTCTGGGAATCCCGCTAGAGCATCCGGCTGGATCAGATGCGGACACCGTCCAATCAATCTCGACGTTCGGTCATATATTCTGAGTTCTCGGTTTTGGTCACACAATCGAAAGTCTACGGAAGCATCATACCTCCAATCGTAGACGGCTCCAATCGAAGAATATCTGTCGGTCGTCGAGTATCATCGCGCCGACAACAGGTTCAAAAGGAGGCTTATTCAAGTCTGGCGATCAACACCTCATTCTTAACAAGCGTGCCTACCGCCCACAAAGCCGGCGGAGGTGGTGGAGCTTCGATGATTTTTTTTATTACACAATACCTCACACAAAACCCCCAGCAGCATCAACAGCACATACCGGCGGCTACCGCGTCAACGACGACGGTAACAACAACAAGTAGTCAGTATCTAGAGAGCATGAGGATCGTTGAACGGAGCCGCACAGAAGAAGCCGCATCGGGGTGGTCTGAGGGGTAAATAACGTCTTTGAATCTTCAACGACTCCGGCGTCGCCATCTCTACCCTGTCGACTTCATCGCCATTGAGTTTTCACTTTCGAAACGTTCACACATCTCTGGATCGAGTGACTTTAATGATGCATTCATCCGAGCCCCTGACCTGTCCGCAGGTTTATATATACGGTACTTCAATCCGAAACATGCTCTGATTGAAAATAATGGGTCAGATCGACGAGAAATTCCACTGTGACCAGGAGTCGCATGAAGACGGTCCTTGCGGGTTCCCCATTTTGGGACTTCGGAGTCCTTGGCAGAACTCGTGAAATTCCGCTCCCTCGAAGTGAGGAGAGCCGAGGGCCCGAACAGAGGACCGGTTTCCAGTGCTTACCCGCTGAACCTGATGGAGTTGAGATGCACGAGGCGTAATCGAGACGTGAATGGACCGTGTGCACGTTTATCGACTCGAGCCGGAGTCAGTCGAACGTGCCTCGTTCTGGGGCTAACGATGATTCGCTTGCTCCCGTAAAGATCAACAAGTGATGTTTCCGAATACAGGAAGGAGCTCGATGTCCTCACACTCGCAAAATCTCGCATAATTTCGCGCGAAGCGTCCCGAACAATAGATCTTTAGGGATGAAGGGCCCGGACCCCGCGCGGAGCCTTCCCCGGGTCACACTTCTCATGACCGTTCAGCCTAGGCCCGGGGGAAGAAAGGGGGGGGGGAGACACACGAGACAGCTTTGTGTGGGTCTTCTCCGGCTGTTCCTCAAAGCTTCCCGATACTTTATGCGAAGCCGACTAGTTCGCGCTTGGCCCTAGAGACGGAGGAGCAAATGTACCGTATTCAGGGGAGGTTCCGGCGCAATTTCTCTACGAAAACTCATCGCATCTGTCAGCTCTGTCTCTTCTCGGGGAGGGAATTTCTCCCGCTGAATCTAGAAGACCTTCGCTATGGATCAAGCGGTGGAGCTTTTCCGGGGATCCACGGGACGCCCGACTTTCGCAATCGACGGTACTCCGACTCCTAATCTTTCCTTCTGAAGGTTCATCCTGAGAGGGAGCTCATTTTAGTCAAATCGTTAGACACGCGCCGAACCCGTCGTACCTGAGCATCCGAGTCCGATCCGCTCCGGGACAGAACGACAGAAAACATGAATGACGATCTCACTCAGAGGAATCCGAGCTTCGCTTCAGAAACTGCCCGGAAACTGCATGCGCCTGATCCCGTGGTATTCGATCGTCGAAGTCCCGACGGAGTCGATTCGAGTGAAGGACAGTGGACCGCGGAGCGATTGGAACCATATGTTGTGGCTGCTCCGGTGGCAGCCGTTGCTTTGAATTATCTCGCTTCCAGACAAGCAACGGATGAGAAAGAGACCGATAGGGTGAGTCGGTGAGAGAGTTGCGAGACGGCGACCGCTAGAATAGCACGAAGCACGCGCCAACACTGTGAGCTCGCCGGTTTCATAAAAACAGCGATTATGCTGCTGCTTCGTCCGGCGACGGGAACAACAGCAGCGACCGCGGTAGTAGCAGCAGCCGGGAAGAACAACGGCTGGGTCATCAACGAGTTCATGATCATGAATGGTTTCAAGGCCATATGGCTGATGGATCCAAACCCTGCGCCGCGCCGTCGTACAGCCAGCCAGTCGTCCCGGTATCCCTTCGGCCACGAGGCGGGCCTAAAGCGAGATGGAGAACAGCTTTGGAGCCGCGGAGTGCATTTCGAGACGTCCGAAGAAATCATCACAAATTCCCGTCTATAAGAATACAATCGCTTCTCTGGGAAGCCTCGTTCTCCGGGGGTTCACTCAAAATTTTATCATTCAATTCTCGGGCCTGAAGACTCATGAGTGTCTCTTTCGATCTGTGCGGTCCACCGCAGTCGTCAGGGGAAAATACAGTGTATCCCGAACCGAGATTCGCCTCTTCTTCTCGATTGTTACGTCGGCGTTTTACTTTTCTCCTCTGCCTACCGTTCACTCGATCGAAAGTGGGCGATTGGCGGTGGTAGACGAGCAACCGAAGAGCTTCTCGTATCCGCATGAGTGCGTCGCTGCCGCGCGCGCGCCCACCCGTCTGCTAGGCAGTCAGTCAGTAAAACCGACGGCGGACCGTAGCCGACGCCAGAAGACACGCGACTGGCGCGTACCAGCAGCACCGTACGCGGCATACATCGAAAAACGTCAGTCGCAGTGACGTCATCGTTGTTTTTTTCCGACCGACGACACCGCGTACGCACCTGACGGCTTGTCATTGGCCTGTCGGTCCACCGAACAGTTCGCCGAGACATGGCCTCACTATATTCCGCAGCGAGACGGAATCCTCCGAGATGAACTTCTTGAACTTTCAATCGAACTCCCCTCTGGTCCACCGTCCATCCAGAAGAGTCGCTTTCACTGCTCCTGGATTCGACCAATAGTGTGGTTTGCAATCTAGGAGGTGGTTAGCCGCTCGGTGGATTCGCCCTCGTCGGACTGCGAACAAAAGACGCAGCTCCTCCGTCACGTCGTTTGCGAGGGAGCTTCGTTCGGTCGGTTCCGAAACCGCTCCTCTAGTCCGGTGTTCTTTGTTCTCCTGAGCGACCTGTTCGATTGGCTCCTTTGAGCCAAGCTGTTAGGTGGTGAGCCAGCTCATCAACGGACCAAGCTCCAAACTAACCGCGAAAGAGTATCCGTTTCGTCAGTTGTCCCAAGCCTCAAGCTACACGTACGCCCGGGGGAAATTCCGATCCGAAAGGCGATTCCTATGAGAAACCGAACCGACAGAACAACTAAATAGCGAGGGTCTGTACCTGAGCCGGCCCGAACAGACCCTGCGAGACGGGAGAGCGCGAGGCACAAAACAACAAGCCGCTTTCGGGACTTTACCGTCGAGTCAGCATTGCTTGGAAGAGTCCCGAAAATTGAGCTCCGGATCAAGCGGCAAAGGGGAACATTCCAATGAGTCTGTTGCCTCCATTTCTTTCCGTGGGAATCTGTTCCCGGCCTTCGGGTGTTTCCCCGATTCGGACTACCTCCAGCGAATATGCCTCTAGGCTGCATTGGAAATAGTAAGAACATACGCAGGCGTATGCTAATCATTGCCTGATGGCGAGCCCGAGCACATCGGTGAGCTTCCGCGGAGAACGTTCGGGATTTCCGTCCCCCTCTCGATCATGCCTACTTTCTCGAGAATTTCCTCCTCCGGAAATACGTGTCGTCTCCTCCTCGAGGTCTACGCTCCTCGGGTTCTCGAGTCATTTACAAAGTTCTCGACGATCAACCGCTCCCGCTGTGTGCCCCCGGGAAAATAAATAACCGTTTCCATCTTCGGGGAAGTTGGGATGCGGGGGACAAGTCGTTCCGAATCATTTTTTTCTCGATGGCACTCAGCGTTCATGCATGAGATACTGCTCTAAGCACGAGACTGTCGAGACCTGTCGTATTGACGCACGGTTCCGATAGCTCGACATAGTTCAGCAATTCTCTGATGGGTAGCCTAGGAGGTGATTAGGGTACACCTGCGTATGTTCTGACTACTACTTCCACAGGAGTAAACCGGGGTGGGTACCCTCTAGGCCAACAAGCGGAGCTTGCGTTCCGAGTACATGCTCCCACCAATCCATCGAGCGCTGACGATTTATGTACATCTGTATGTAGGTAGGTACTGCGTGGAATACCGGGACTCGAGCTGTTGTTGGCGAGTAAGTGTGCAGACAGTGCAGTGAATCCTCACTCTAAAGGAAGCTTATTCGTTCGTCGTGTAATTGGAGGCTCTTCAAATGATCGCTGTCATGTTCATTTCAGGCACGCGCTCCGGTCCGGGCGTTGGGGAGGGGTTTCGTCGTCGATGGTGAGGGTCGGAGCTCGAGTACCACATGGCCTGGCTGGTTGGTTGGCTGGCTGGCTGCACATCACACACATGACTTCAGTCCAACGTCGAACGCCGAGCGTCACAGAGAGCTCCGAGCGAGCGAACGGCTACGACAACGACGACGACGACTATTCGCTAGCGGTCTACGGCGACCGCGGGCTCCGATGATTTCAGGCATGGATTTGAAGCCGCAGTTCGAATGCCAAGTGTTCTTCGATTATTCCGAACAGTTCCAAACGACGGACGTTGCAGCATCCGAGTTCAATACGGCTGGCACCACCTGTTACGATTTTCGAGATTTGCCATCGTCACCAATAAGTGAGTCCACCGATCCGAACACCTCCCCGGGGGCCAGCAGCCCCATCAAGAAGAAGCAGATGCTCGTGATGAAAAATTTCCAACCTGGATCGGCACCCGTTGTCAAGAAGAGAAGGTTGGCAGCTAACGCCCGCGAACGTCGACGCATGCACGGACTCAACGTGGCCTTCGATCGACTTCGGGAGGTCGTTCCGGGCATCAGCTCAGACAGGAAACTTTCGAAGTACGAGACCCTGCAGATGGCCCAGAGTTACATCAACGCTCTGTCGGAACTCCTCCACTGAGACCAGACTGTCGACTTCTACGATGTGCCTGGGAATTTCTGATGTCTCCCGATGACTATCAATCTTGAAACGCTGTGATCATGAGAACCGTAAATGATAATTGTGTACATAAATATTTTCAATAAATGTTTTCCGCATGCATTTGAACATTCCTTGAGGCTCCTCTCCCAATTATTTTGATTTTCCTCGCTCAATCCTCCCGACTCCCGTCACTATCACTGCCATGCCTTCGGATGGCGTCGATCTCTCACTTTCTCCTTCTCTCCCCGAATCTCCAGCCTTGATAAAGTCGTGATCAAGAGCGTTCGATAACGAAAACGGCTCTGAGAATAGTATTCAAGTGGATGTTATTGAGTCGGCTCTTGTGAGAATAGCGTCTCTGTCAGATCCAGCGAAGCTTGATGGGTATCTCGCCCGCCTTACGTGTTAGAATACGAGAGCCATGCGTGCATGTAAGCGTAATGAAAGTTCGTAATTGTTGCTCAACTCAAGCATCCAGTTGCGGTGTGTAAAGCGAGCCGTCGTTCAGCAATATGACGAGACATCACTACCAAAATGCAATAATATAAGCGAGCAGACGCACTCATTCTGACACGGTGTGAATTTTTTCCGACGGAAGTACGAATGAAACAAAATTAATTCAAGCGTGCCACGAGCGACGCCGTGCATCCGCTTGATGGACTCCGAATTAGACAAATGAAGGCGCTACGGTCGAAGAGCGAAGTCGTCCCAGATTGCATTCATGTTCGAAGCTGATCCCTCCAAGAGAAATTATCTTTTCGCGAGATATTGTCAAGCTCTGGTCCATTTGATAATGAAACTTCGTTCAACGATGCAGCTCAATTCTCTGGTTTCCAAAGGAACAGTTAGTACATCCAGCTCGAACACCAAGAGGACCTTAAGCTTCGACAACTAACAGCGGCGGCCGCTACCGACGATGTGAGGGCACGCGATGCTGAATTGTATGAATTGCGAGCTCTGCGTCGTTCGCAATGCAGCATATCAAGTGAGTCACGCCGCGAGTAACGCGAGACAGCACCTCCGACGAAAAGATCGCTATGAACCCTCTTGTCTCATGCGGATCAGTATGCGTATCCATGGTGCATACCTACGTATCTTTGTGCGGCCGGTTCGGAGCAGCTATGCCTAGTTGTTGTCGTCTGCTTCCTCGTCGTTTGCCGAGAGGTTATCGTCGCCGTAGCTGCCGACGACTGTTGTCGAGCAGATAACGATGAAAAATGCAGTTCTCTCTACGTTTGCGTGGAACGTATGTTTGTACGCTTTATACAATCTTAGTGTAGACTCGCTGGCCGCATTCTGTCTGACCAACCAAGCAGCGAGTCAGCCCTCCACCCATGTCGTCAGGCTGACCTCGAATCAAGGTCCGCGGAGAAGACCCCGCGTTCGAAGATGAAGATTCGTCAAACCTTTCCACATTGGGGAATCTCATTGATACATTTGGTCTTCGGAGGAATAATTATCGGGGAACAAATGGGAGAGCGGACTCTCTACCGACCTGGCGGAGGAACGGAATTCTCTCAGCCGGATACGTTGAGAGCTGGGACCTGGTCAAATGGTTATCTCATCTGCGATTCATGGCGCTATCCTCGTCGACGGACTCGACGGAAAAAATTTAAGCGGGGAATGTAATTGCTGTTATCCCGTTGCCACCATTCGATAGAATCGGACGCCGTATCCGCAATGGGTGATATATGTCTTAGAATTTTCGCTTTGCGTACCGAGGAGCTTGGCGGTGCAGGATTTCTGTCGAACACTCTATACCATCGGAGAAGGAGCGAAAACAGCAGAGTATATCTCTTTTTGGAGGATCATATTTCAAGCGCATATCAAGTTCGATGGCCTCGAAGAAGAACTCGAAGCTGCATCGCCCATTCCTGAGCGAGACAATTGGGTGCTTTTGGGAGTGAGTGACGTAGAGCTCCGACGGCGGAGCCGGACGCCACGCCGCCCCGTAATTCCACGAGAAGAACTGGCAATTCAGGAGTTGCTGGCACGGACACTCGGATGGCGCAGGAGAAATATAGATAACCGAATACGCCGAAGCGTACCGAAGTCCAGATTCAGTAACTCGATACGCTGAAGCTGTGTTTATAGCGAGTAGATGTTCTCGCAGTAGACCGGCGCAGCAAAAAGCTGGGAAAGCATTGTTTTCGTATTTTTTCCCCTGCTAGTCCCAGTTCCCCGCAGGCGAATCTTGAGGAACTTCCAAGACGGAACATGTTCTCATTTTTCGTAATCAGCGAGACGTGCCATGACAGTGAAAAGTTTCTCTCCATTGTTTTTCCGAGTTGTTGCTTCTGCTCCTACAGACTGCCCGCCACGGTTGGCTCTCGCCTCAGTGTTTTCGCCCGTTGTCTCCCGCAAACTCGGTTACTAGTGTCCCGGCATCATAATGACACAATGGCGATGGAACAAGTTGCGGTGTCGCCGCCAGTGATAAACATGGGTTGTTGTGCGGTCGCTCGAGCGACCGGTTCCCACACGGAAGTCGAGACGTTGTTTCTCCTCTCGAGGAAGGAGCACGGCGGGAGCTGAACCACCTATTTGCTCGCTATCTTATATTCGTGCCGTGGTCGCGCCTTGATTTCTGGTCGAGTCGTCGAGGACGGAGACGACCCTCCCTTTTTTGCACAGCAACCACAGGCGACACGGCCCGAAACGGCCGCGTCTAATGCAGTGTTCGCATGTCATCGCCTCCGAGCGGCGGATTGACGGACTCGGAGAGCGGAGGCTCGATTGTGCGGCCGTACATCGTAGAGAGTGGTGATCGCCGCCGTAGAATAGAGAGACATGCCGCTGTCGCGTCAGCGGTCAGGTAGTGAGCTGCTCGTTTGCTCACGCATGGATGACGAGAAAGACAGAGAAGCGGACCGAGCTCAAAGCGATCGAGAAAGGAGGAAGAACACGTCCCCGGATCGATCGGTCTACGGCGCACTTCCCTTCGGCTCCATCTTGCTCACTTGCATTTCTGACTGACAATGACTCCTCTAACGAGATTACTCTTTACTGGAGGAGTGATGCGAGAAGACGCATCAGCGGCGCGGTTTGAAGGCGCTCGGGGCGTTTTGAGGACAAGCTCCGACTACTGAGCGCTGAGTTCACTTTTCGCGCTCCCGAGCAGCGTCTCCGCCCTGTTTTCCAGATGCTCTATCGAATAGCAGCTCGCCTGCTCGCCTCGCCGTTGTGAGTGATTGACTTACCGGGAAGATATCTGCTAGTGCTGCTTTTAAAGCTCTGTCATCCATTCTTGTCCCTCGACATCAGCACCCGATCTGGCAGGTTCTCCTGCCTCTCCTGGTCGGTACTGTGATGTTATCGATTCAGGAGGATCACCGGATACGTTCTTTGACAGAACGTTCGGAGAGAAAAAAACTGATCCAGGCGCCTCCGGCCATGGCATCACCGAGCGCACTGAAGTAGCATTCGGCACAGTCCGAGTTTGTTTTGATCTCCCGGGAAGATCACAGGGAACGTCGGAACTCTCTCGGCGCTGACCGTTCTGGGAAGGAGAATCAACGATCGGACGCTCGAGGAATATGCGGCAAGGATTGTTCTGACGCAAAATGACGCGATGAGACGTTTCGTAGCCTCTTTGGGAGCTCCGGGAAAGCCAGGCTGGTCGTTTGGGGTTGTTGCCATAGATGATGTCCTATCCAGGCCTGGCGGCGAAGCCACCGCGGAGAGTTGATCCCATCTCTCTGAGTTTCTCAGGCCGCTGAATAGTGAACTCCAGAGTCTATCTGGCTCCGTAGTCGGGCACGATGACAGAGTCGAAGAAACAAGGCTTCGTTCGTGCGTTCGTCGCTTGGACTGTCAACGTCTTTGAAGCTCCGGACCTGGGGCCAATAACAATGTCATCAGAACGAGCAGCCTTCGGCGGCGGCAGCGAGAGAAAGTTGTGATGTTCGGTGTGCACTCTTCCCTGAATGTAGTCGCTCGTTCGCTCGGTTGATCCATCCCGCCTCCTTTTGCTTGTTGTTATCATTGTTGTATTGTGTCATTCTGTGGTTAGATGTTCACTTGTGTTGCTCATGAGCACAGCATCCAGTGCAGGTAGGTACTATGTACAAGAAGTACCGGCCACTGCACAAAAGGCCGTGTGACTACTAGATTTGTTGTGGCTGAGTGAGCGATCGACCAACACACTCACTCACTGACTCAGTTCAAGACGGAATAGGGAAGAGAATCGAATGGATTTAGAAGGGTCCGAAAATGAGATGTCGACGACTGATGTCACGTTGGCCACGCCCTTCGGCAGATCTTAACAGTCGCACAATGAGCATATCCGAAAATAGCTCAAAGGAGAATCGAATCGCTATGTCTGATCTGAGCAGGAATACGAATGGTCTTCGAGCTGCTCAAATGACGAACTCCATCGGAATCGGGTCCGGAAGTGGGCCGAAAAGCATCATGTAAGAAGAACTCATCACTTCAGTGTCTCCAAACTTAGAGACAGAGGTTCTCCACACTCCTCATATATAGTTGAATGAAGTGGTGTGGGAAATACTAATAGCTCATACATATGATCTAATGGATATTTTCGGGACTTCGATATTATTTGCCATTCAAGCGGAAATGAGGGAATGGTTTTCCCTGGAATAGTCTTTCATAATCCTCCCTCGCGAAGCCTCTCGCGAGGAGACATGTGAATGGGCACATTGTGTGAAAGGCCCAGGACAGGAGCCGCAGTCCTATCGGCACGGCTCTGGAAAACGAGTCGACGGATCCGCGCAGAGAATTGTTGGCGTCAGAAATGCGCGATCCCGACACGTTGAGATCACCGCCAACCTCGGTGGACGAGGCCGAGAGAGAATGGTTCAGAGCTCGTGGAGAGAGTGAATTGAAACCATTCAAAGAGCTTAGTGCGGACGGCAGTGGCGGTGCATTGAGGATCGGTAGAATGGGTGGAGTTGGAGGCGTTTTCAACATTTCAACACATTTGACTGACAGCTCTCGGGGAGCATCGGCGCCAGCGTAGC